CCCTGCTCTGTGCGTGACAGGGGGTGGCGCCGCAACCTCCCCATCGACCCTGCCTTGAGTGTGACAGGGGGCGGTGCCCCAACCCCCCAATTGGCCCTACCCTGAGCATGACTGAGGGTGGCATCGCAACCTCCCGATCTGCCCTGCTCTGTGCATGACAGGGGGCGGCGCCCCAACTCCCCAATCGGCCCTCCTCTGAGCCCCACCAGGGGCTGCACCTAGGGATTGGGCCTGCCCTCTGCCACCTGGGAGCAGGCCTAAACCAGCAGGTCCTTATCTCCCGAGGGGTCCCAGACTGTGAGAGGGCACAAGCCAGGCTGGGGGACCCCCCTCCCCTCCCGAGTGCACAAATTTTTGTGCACCGGGCCTCTAGTCTATATAATAAAAGTGTAATATGCTAATTAGACCAGACGTCCTTCCAGACAACCTTCCAGACGAAGCCACAGTGGCGGGTGCCGAGACAGAGGTGGCCGCCGTGGCAGGTGGGTGGGAGCAGAGGCAGCCGTGGCAGCGGCAGGGCCAAGTCCCTTGTATAAATTTTGTGCATCGGGCCTCTAGTTTTAGATAAGGAGAATGTATAACCAAGTGTGTGGAAGCGAAAGTACAAAAAGCTTCCTCTGGAAGGGATGATAATCAAATCATTGTTGCACTCTGGACATAGGAAGATAAGGTCTGAGCTAGAATGAATACTGTAAGAACTGAAAGAAAAGAACTAAGTAATTATGCAAGAAAAAGTAAGCATAATTGGGAACTGACTTCTAAACCCTCTAAAAACTTCCACAGCACCCTCTTATTGGGCTAATTTTATGCTCCCTTGTAATGTTAATTATTATGTGCATATGTCTTTCTAAATTTTATATTCATTTGTTAATAGACATTTATTGATCAAGCACTATTCCTGAGATAAAGAAAGAAGTAGGCAAAGACAAAAAAATGCCTGCCCTCAAGGGCACTTAATATATTTACTTACATCTTTCACAGTGCTTAGAATTCAATGCTAGGTATTCCCAGGGTAAATATTTATTATTTAACCCAATTTTAAAAGGTAATATTAAGATGGTCTATTTGTATCTGTTTATATGTGTTACAAAAATTCCTTTTGATATTAAACTTATCTTTCTTTAACTTGATCCAAAAGAAGTATTATGTATTCAGATTAATCTAATGTCTCTCAGTTTATTTAGAGATAATTAGTACTTTGATGTAATGAAAAGAGTACCACCCTGGGAAGAGTCCTGGATTCTAGTTTGGCTCTGCTGTTGAATAGGTTTGCACATGAACCTTTACCCTTTTTATCCTCTCAGAGCCTCAGTTCTCATATGTAAAGTAAAACATTGGTATCTTATAGCAGTTACACTTTGAGTCTGAAAGTGGGACAAAATTTTCATTCTTGTTACCTTGGAATAATATTGTAGCTAAATTATCTAGTACATTTAATTGAATGATTGGAAACAAAACTGAGAGCTGTCATTTCATGTTTCATTTGAGTTGATTGAATTGTTTTTTCTCTTTTACAGACTTGGGCCTGGATCAATATATAATAAAACGCTTTGATGGAAAGGTGAGCAAACTATGGCACATGTATATCCTGTTTACTAATAATATTTTAAAGTTCCTCCAGTATTTGTGAGAGATTTCTGAATACATGTTTATCTTATCAAAAAAGAGTGTTGCTTAGGTTGGGAGGCCTGTAAGTGCCTTCAGATGCTTCTACAGGAAGAGCCAAACAGAAGTTTCTTCTATCTTTATCCACACAGGTAACACTCGTGGACTGCCTGCTGTTTATATTAAGGCCTAATTCAGTGTTTGTTGACATTTGAGCTTTAATTCAAAAGCCACAAAAGTTAACAATCTCCCCAATATTGCATTTGTTTTAGAAACACCTATCTGATTTGACCTTCCTCAAACTATGCTATTATATAGCAGTAACTTAAGAAAATTAGGGAAGTCCTTCCTAGTGCTTTTATAATAGTTATGAAGACCCCAAATTTACATATGTTTGCATTATACTTACTTTTAATTCTTTATTTTATGCCTGGAATAAATCATTCATAATAAATCATTCTTAAGTATAGAAAATGAAACTTTTAATTTTATTATCTCAAAGCAGTTAGTTAAACATGTTTTTCCCTTTCAGGCTGAATTCTACAAAAAGAGAAAGAACGTATTACACAGGGTCAGAAAGAAAAGTAAAAGGTCAATTTTAAAGTGGAGGAAGAAAGAAGAAAGAGCCAGGAGTGGTTCTACAAAGCCTAAAGTGAAGGAAATCAGGAGGCAAATCATGCAGTGGCTGGAAAAGGCAGGATCACAAAAGAGGGTCTAGATGGGTAGAGGTCAGGGTTAGTAGAAACTGATCTTGCAGGAAGGTGTCCATCCTGCTTCATTATGTAAACTCCACATACTGGTAAGGTGAAGATATAAGTGCTAAGGTCTTTTGTGGAAATAATGAGTGGCTGACTTAAGAGTTGAGAGAGCTCAGCCAGTGCTTCCAGCCTAAAAATTACCTTTCCTATTCAGGTGGCACAGTGCCTCCATCTGTGAGTATCTTCTTTTTAAAGTCACATAATCTAAGAGAAACAGTGATTTTAAAAAAGAAAAGGCATTGAACTTGATGTTAGGAGACCTAGGTTCAGAGTCTAGCTCTGCTTTGTGACAGACACATCTTCCCCTGATCCTTGGTGTCTGCTTTATGTATGATAAAGTACCGTATCCATGTTAGCGGTTATTTGCAGACACTGATGTCACGGTCTGATTTCAGAGTCTCTGGCAAGTTGGGCCCCTGGCTTTTCTGTTTTTGTGTCACTCAGAGTCCAACATATGCCTGGCACACAGGAGGTAACCAGTAAATATTTGATGACTTGGGAAAAATCAACTGGTCAATGCATATTTCTTGGAGGTATGACTCACTTAGTCAGTGATATCTTAAAGCAGAATAAAGTTAACAAATCACTCGTTTCATCATTGAAAGAATCCAGAGTAGCATGAGAATTCAATTCTCTATTGTATATATGTAAACCTGAAAACATGCAAAGAAGTTGAATATGTGCAACTTGAACAGTAAATTTATGAATTATCTTTTATTTCAGATGAAGCTAAGAAAATAGCTTTGGTACTGTTTTTAGACTTAATTATAATGAAGAGTGCAAAATTTATTGTTTAATAACTTTAGAGGTTTTTCCAGGGATTTTTGCATGTATAAAACCTTTGCTTAATAACTATAAGGATCAACACTTAGTTAGCTATCAGTCTTCTTATTTATTTTCCTTTGTATCTTCCTGACTCTTTTGTTGTCTCAATCAGGAAATCTTAATTCTTAAGTAGCAGTTTCTAGAGTATATAAATCATAAAACAATTACTGAATTTTTGAAAAAAAACCCACAAAAAAAACAGATTTGTGTGGTAATTATAGTAAATTTCATACATGATATGGCCAGAAATTTAGTAGAAATCTAACATCCTAGAGGAATTTCCTTTTAAACTTGCTTTGATGTTTAAATGGATCATTTTCTCTCTTTTTTTTATTTTTTAACTTGGAAGATAAACTAATTATGACCTGCTTAGAGAAAGAATATTAACTCTCATTCTCTTATTCCCCATTGTTTTAACTTTTGACCAGTAAGAAGCACTAACTTATTTTATTGCCTTCTAATTGAATTGCACTTTAGCCTTTTTGTCATTGAAAGCAGGCAGATGTAGAAATAGTATTATTTTCCTGGGGTCTTTTCTCGTTTATACTTGAATTTCATACAATTTCCAAAAGCAAAGTAGAAAAGAATGGTTCAACTGATATTGACAAATAATTGGATAGTTATTTCTTTCTTTAATACCTATCCTCTTTTCTCCTATTCTGTTTGACTAAAAGTAAATAGAATTTCCTTAAGGTATAAATAAAACATTCTGATTTCAAATGATAGCCATTGAAAGTGAATTTGATAAAGCGGCTTTTGAATTTTGGGGAGGATTATTTTCCAGAGCCCATCACTACCTTATGTTAATGTACCCTTACTCTAAGGATATTGGCAATTTCCTTTGTACAAAGTCATGAAATACATTATTATTGGCACTTGCATCATTTATGCATTTCAAAACTATCTAACACAGGCTATGTATAAAGAAGCTATAGTCAATGGCCTTTAGTTTTAAGAATATATTTTGTAGATAAGTGATATTTTTTAAATATTCAGACTAGGTTTAAAAGGTTAAAAATCTCAAACCTGGAAAGAGTTCATATTTTATTAAAGGATATTTTAAAATCATTATAAATAGCATATCAACATCATTATGCAGATGGTATACTATAAAATATGGTCTGGCTTTTGTTTTGTTTAGATTTTTTAAAAAACCCTTCTCCCCCAGCAGTGCACAATGTTCATACATTTTACTTTTGTTAATGCAGTTATTTCATGAATTTTGAATTATTTCTTTAATGAAAACTATTTTTTCTGGGTTTAATTTTTATCATCTAATAATTTTGGCCTATGAAACAAAGTATAATTTCTAAATGGAGCCTTTATATTATGTAATTATCAAATAACTCTCATGTAATCATTTAGTAGCTCTTTTATTCGTGTGGCTTATACCCTCCCTTTTCCAGGTTCTCTTACCTCTCCTTTTTTTTCTCAGCATACCAAATATGGAAATTATGTTTTGTATTTTCTGTTTCTATTGCATGTGAAAGATAACTCTCCATATCAGATACCACCATGTTTTTTTTGTTGTTTGTTTTAAGTTACAGTAGGAAACTTCACCATCTAGGCAAAATTGTTTCTTTAGCTAAGAATACCAATATTCCAGGGTTTTAATGTAATCCTCTTCTCTCATCTAAAAACATTAAAGTTCACCCTCTTTTTTTCAGGTAACAAGTAATTGCTCATTGAAACTAATTGCCCATTATCGTTCCACCTTGTATTTCTTTTTCAGAAAGTATATTTTTTATTCTTTCCTCCTTATCAAGTTCCCTTTTACCCCAGCTCTCCTGAACATTGCAGAAATGATGCCTCCAGATTGAGATTATTTAATACTAGAGGCCCGATGCACAAAGATTCATGCAAGAATGGCCTTCCTTCCCCTGGCTGCTGGCACTGCCTTTGCTCCAGTTGGAGCCACCTTTCCACCTTTCACGCTGCCAAGAGGCCCGGAGCAGCTGGGGCGGTGCAGAACACCTGCGTCATCACCATGGTGACGACACAAGCGTCCCACCCTGCCCCCAGCTACTCGGTGCCTGTGTATGCAAATTAACCCACCAACTTTGTTGGGTTAATTTGAATACCCACTCCTGATTGGCTGGTGGGTGTCGCGAAGGTACAGTCAGTTTGCATCTTTCTATTTTATTAGTGTAGATTTATAATTACAGCCCCCTTAGAATCTCTCTAATTTGGAAGAATTAACGAGTGTTTTATTTCTATCTTCTTTGTGATATATACTAGAATATTTGTTCACATGGAACAGAAAAACTCTTTATATCAAATTAAAATAAAAATTGTCCACATTTAGGTAAAAGAAATAAAAGTATGGTTTAAGCCTACAAAGGGAAATACTGATTACAGTGTTTATAACAGAAAAGATAATCAGCAGAAAAAAAGATGGGAGCCATAGTTAAAAATCAAAGTTTTAATATAACTGAATGCTTTTAATTGCTTACTAGGTAAAAGTTATTTTTGAAATGTTAATAAATGAACTTTAAAATGCCGTTCCCTTTAGGGGTAAGTCTTGATTCCCGGAGGGGAGTGTGGGCACACATTTTCCTCTTAGTTCTTTATTCAAGTTGTGATTATTTGCTTCATATCACAGATAAAATATGAGTCTGAAATAAGGTCAAGTATAGTATTACTCCTTGACACATATAGTAAGTTATATAAGGGATTTCCTGTCTTCTAAGAGTGAAAACTATTGCAGATCAAGAAAATTTAAATTAGGAGAGAGTAGACTGAAATTCTCATGAGACAAAATTTGATAAATCTTTACATTTATTTGAACTGCTGCTCAACTTTATATAGCAGGTTATGATGTTCTTACAAATTCTGAAGTGTTAATTAGCGCGCGCTCTCTCTCTCTCTTATCTTCCAGAGACTTTAAATCAGCCAACTCTAAATTCTAGATGAATTGATATATTTTTTCCAGTTTTCCTATTGCTCATTCTGAATAGGCAGAATATTATTGTTTTTGCTCCCATGTTTTTTTGATTCATGTTTTCATTTGCCCATCAATCCCACTCTACTTGTGTTCTCTTTCTTTTATAATAGGGACATTCTTGCTTTTAAAAAAACTGTAACAGATTTCAAGAGAATGGATAAAGTACTTCAATTCCTTGAAGCCTAAAGTTCTCCACAATTATTTCGTAGTCACGTATTATTTTAGGGGTAATAATTTAGCCCTTTTAAAAAACACCATTAACCTCTTCACTCATTGCTGTCAGTGTTTTATTTTTCCAGTTTAAAGTAATCTCTAAATGACAATGCTTGACTCTCTTTATCTCTTGAGATAATTATTACCAATAATAATATGAAAAAGAATAGTTAGGGCTTTTTGAGTGCTTAGTATGTGCCACGCACTGTTCTAAGT